GCTCGTGTTACGTTTCCCGCGTAAAGGCCCTCGCCTTCTGTCGTTAAGTCAAGCCGAAGGCACGCGTGATCTATGGAAACCATAGCATTCCGGCATTTTTTTCCTTCTTTACGACTTTAGCAAATAATCTTATCCGTGAATGACGGCGATATTTGGCAATTCTCATAATCTAATTTTATCATTTAATATCTTCATCTCGCTATTCTTTGATAAATAATAATTACAACAGGACTTAAATTTTGCACATTATACGAATAAACTTTGACAAAATTAAAATTGCGACATCGAAATAAAAAACGATGAGATTGTTCAAAGATAAAGACGGCATGTATTTCGTCGAAAAACGAAACGTACTCGTCAAATTTTACTTCGGTATTTAAATTACCGGAACGGCAGAGTGTCGAAAGATCACACAATAACGATCTTGGAGAAAAATCTTTACAAAGTTACGGTGCATTTGTAGTTGGGATTTAGTGAAATGAAATGAGATAGGCTGCGCGCAAGAGAAGGGAAGAACGTTGACACGAAAGAAAGAATGAGAGAAAAGATCTGTGTGGCAAGAGTGGGATACACCTGACCAACAGGTACTCGGTGAGGTCCCCCATAAGCAATCCCATCATTGGCTCGGCCCACTCTCCCACTACCACGCGAAGACTAAAGGGTTTCAGAGAGTCTTCCCTTTCTACAATCAGCATCCAATATCTTACTGCTAGGATGCAAGCGACTTGAGATGTAAATAACGAGACTTTTATGCTACGACTTTATGCCATTACTTTAATTGGTTTTATTCAATTTTTCGCAGCATTTACTATGACCCGAAAACTTTCGTTACTAGAACGTTGAAACAATATCATCGATTTTTTTATCTTGCTCGTATATAAGATCTATATTTAATAATATTAATTAATAATTAATAATTTGGAAAGAAAATAAAATCCATATATTTTTAATATATCTCAATGTAACGGGAAAAAATTTAATAAAAACATTATACGATAAAAATATTCTCAAAAAAAATTTGAAAAGAAATATTTCATGACAAAGCTTGCAAACATTTCTTTTGAACAGGGAAACCAATTCTTATTCCAATTCCGACTAATAGTAATAGCATCTCGATAACGCTGTCGACACAGTTGAGAGGCGTGGAAAATGATGAAAACCAAGGCGAAGGAGCTGGGATCTCTCGCGCAAAAGGAAACCCTTAGCAGGAAGGAACGGAGGATGATCCTCTTATGCGTCAGTCGTAACGAGCGCGGCGTTGTTGCCGACTCGACTGTACTCGCATATAGTACATATAACACGCGTCCCTTTTTGTTTACACTGGATAACACGACTACCATGAAGCGAGGTAACCACTTTTTGCCGCCTCCTCTCAGGAGCAGTCCTGTAAGACGGATCGATTGGACGTAGCCGCACTCGCATATCGGCACTCTGTCGATTTTAACTACCGCACGGTCCATTCACTCCAACCGGACTGTACAAAGCGCTCCTGGCTTGACAATTCTATTTCTTGCCCGTTCTCTCTACGGCACATCTAAATAGCAGGCCACGGCGATTCAAAAAGTCGACAAAACGTATCGATCAGACACGGCTGGAGAGGAGACAGGAAGTCACGCTTGTCGCGCGATATTACAAAGTATACGTTCGTGGCGAATAAACGTTTTAACGGTTCGATAGCGCGATCATCTCTTTCAAATTTCATACCTTCGTACAAATTTATACACTTTTTTTTTGGCTGATATATATAAATGGATATAAATCAGGATATGGCAAACATTCATTTGTTTTCGTAAATCAAATTTCTGGAAAAGTTTTTCGGAAAAATGTTTAGAATTCTGTTAGCCTAAAGAAATATCATTCTAAAAATTTAGGAAGCATACCAAAAAAAAAAAAAAGAAAAACAATGAATATTGCGTATGCATCAATATACTTATAAACGATGAACCATCGATATTAGTCGCCGGGAACAGGATGATTAGGGCGGCGCTGATTCGCAAGAACAAGCAAGCTCGAGCCGATACCTAAAAGTATGCCGTAGATTGGCCGGTCGTTTGACGATAATTAGGTCCCGCGGAACGCAATCTCGCCTCATCGACGCTCTGCCGAGGAAGCGACCGGCAAAATCAACAAAATAATGAGTAGTCACGGGTGTTTGTCGGCAAACGCGAACGTAACGCGGTACGCGGTTGATGAGGAGGGTTCTCGGCAGAGAATTGCATGGACGTATGTGGGGGGACAAACGGCTAGCAGGTTGAAGAGGACAACCACAACGAGTCGACGGCTAGTTAATGACTCTCTATGCACTTCATTCCTTTCTCACCGGTGATTATCGGGGGGCACATGTCACCTTATCCTCAAGATCGATATATGCTTAACGTTACGATGATATCATTTTCATGTTTAATCGTGATTATTATATGATTTTCCATCATAATATATCGATTATTTTGTCTTTTGAGTAAAACAATGAATCTGATTGTGTGTTTCAAAAACTATTCATGGATATAATACGTCTGATATATCATGTCGGGCATTGAATGTTTAGCTAATTCATGCTATTAGACCGTAGCATCATTAAATCCGAGAGAAGCGTGAGAAAAGAATGTAATTCGCTGAAATTTCTTGCATTATTGTTTAAAAAAAAAATTTATATCGTCGTAACAAATAGAAAAAAAAAAAGAGAAGGAGAATTTTATCGAAATATAAGCTCATTAATATCTCGGACAAAATAAGTGGCTACAAGAGCTGATGAGATGCGAAGCGCACACCCTCGCATAAGATCTTCAGTTGTCTCACACGTGCTGTGCGAGAACATGAAACCAGAGGGCCGAAAACGCGAAGAAAGGCATGTATGCTGACAGTAGGCGGATAAAATCCATTCTGGTCGCCGGGTGACCAGATTTCTCTTTGGTTAGTTCGAGACTTTGAAAAGTTTGCGACCCTTCTAAGACAAGGCTCGCTCAGAGAAAAAGAAAACACTCGATACTAGGCATATGGTAAAAATTCAAACGAGGCTACCGGAAGTTAAACACTCTGAAAAGTTGCGCCAAACATGTGTGTTTTGTTCGCCGATTGCCGATAGATTTTTCATCGATAAATTCTTTATGGGAATTCTTTATGGGAAATCCAATTTTTAAATATATAAGATACGGTATTTTAAAAAATATAATTATACGATAATTTAAGAAATATAAGATACGGTATAGTAAAAAAAATAAATTAAAAAATATAGAATATTTCTTCTTCAAGAAAACTGATTCTTCAGCAAAATTGTTTAAAAAAAAAAATATAGATATATATATATTATGTCAGACATATAATATAACATCGTAAATAATCTCGAAATCAAAGATAAGCTCAATATTAATTTCACATGAAAATTTTTTCGATATTCGTTTATATTACATTTATAAAAGCGCAATCGAGAAAGAGAAAGATTCGTCTTTTTCCGATACACCCACGCGCTTTCCTTCGCGGGAACAAGACGAAAAGATCCGAAAGGGCCGAAGGTGGGAGTCAGGGACGGCTGGTGCTAGTTGAGTTGTCGAGCTGACACGCGTTCTCTCTCCTCGTTTCACCGATCGCCGCACCGATTATCTCTCTTCAGCCTTCGTTCCCGACCCCGTGTACACGCTTCCCACTCTCCCCACCGTCCTTCCCACTATTCCCCGATTAAGATCCGCCTCTCTTTCTCTCCCGCATCATCTCTCAACGTTTTTCTCGTAGCTCTTTTTCGCTTCCTCTCTCGCTCTCTACTCCCTTCTCCGCGATACGCCAGAAGCATCCGTTTATCCTCCTCGTTCTCACGTCGAATTTTCCTCTCCGCATTTCTTCACGACCTCTCTGTCGCACGCCTACCCGAGAAACACACACAACCACATCCACCGCCACACGCCCGACTTCTCTCCTCCTCGACCATGCTCTCTCTTGACGGCTATGGTAGAGGTGGTAGTGGTCCGTGATGGTGGTGGTGGTAGCGATAGTAGGGTGGTGGTAGAGTCTCAGTACCGCCATATCCGCCAAAGCACAAGCACCGTGACAGGGTTCGCATACACGTTCCGACTCGCGCCTTTCCAAAGCGGACAGCCTCGTCACCCTCGCGCGCGCCGTCGGGGAAGACGCGAGCGAAGGGAGAGCAAGGGAGATACATTGACGTTCGCGAATACGGACACTGAGATCTAATGTCCGAGTGCCTTAATTCTAGGATAAAATTGAGTGTTGCGCGTGTTATCTGCCCGATCGGCAGGCGGTGATCGTGCGCGAACGCAATCGCTCGTCGAGGGTTGGTGGTCAGGAATGCGATCGCGAGGACGTTTGACGCGCCGCCGGAAGCAATCTGATTGCGGTGAACGTGCTCTCGATTCGCGCCAACGGTGGGCGTCGTCGCGCATTAATCGCGACGATGGTGATCGATTGACGCCGCCTTATCCGATAGATCTGTCGGTTCGAGGTCGCTCGTGTCACGATAATACGCGACTTGGCGATACGCACCGGGGATATATCAGTGATCGCCAATCGTTGCTTGGCCCGCATGGATTAACCAACAGTGAGTCACCGTATTCGAGACGGCCAGTGAAAGGAAAGTCACGCGACGAAAGTATAGGGAACTGTTGGATATAATTCGGATCCGTCGGCAAACAACGATCGCCAAAGACAGATCAAGTTCGTCAAAGACAAAGTGAAAACAAAACCTTTACGAAAACATTGCAAAAATCAGGAGCGGCATTCGTAAGAAACGTACCCGTCGTTAGGATTTCAGCA